TTTGCCATCGTTTAAATTTGTTGTTAGCGGACTGAAATTGTGTTTCTTTTATGTTCTAAAATTTTCCCTTTATTTCTTCATAATGCCAGATTTCAAGCCAGTCTTTAGCGAATTATCAGCTATTTCATAAAAACTGCTGTTAACTTTCTCTGCTTATCGACTATTTGTCTCAGTCTTAAGCTTTTCATGCTCAATGGATTGCCTCAAACTGCGACAACCTACGTTAATGGACGATTTAACAGGCGCGTTGTAATTTGCACTTGCATTTTGTTTGATTCAGTTCAGTTCGGAACTAAATTGATGCAAAAAACTGCTAGCTTTTATGCCGTCTTATGCCCGTCATCTAATTAGCCGCTCACTATCACCTTACTTTCGTTTTAAACAAAACTTGTACAACGAAGAACTCGGACAGTTGTCGGAAAAGAATGAACAGTTAGCTACCAATAACTCTAGCGACAACCTTAAATATAAACTTTGCATAATGGTAATAATAGGGAATTATACGCTACGAATTTTTCACATATAAATATGTATCCACTATTCGCCTAAAGCCTTCGAATTCTTGACTATCTGCGTAGGAGACCTGTGCATATTTAGCATTAGATAAGACTTAGCTGAACTATCAATAAATATTCCACAAAAAACGGTTTTTCTTGTTTTCGTCTATCAGTACTGGTTTACCCAATTTGTTTTGCTTATTTCAATTGTTCAGATTTTTTGCTCTTACTATAAAATTTGGATTGTTGGTGCTTTCCGATTATATCTCCATCAGCAAAGTAAGGCGAAGCTGTGGAGTGAGATAGCTGCTAGTCAGCAAGCAGAAAATACCAATGAAAGCTGCATTTCCTCAAAGTTTCCCGGCTATAGTTCTGAACAGAATTAAAACTAGCGATGAATAAGAGCTGTAAAAGAAGTTCCCATCAAATCAGGCAAAAGCCGTAAGGTTTTGCTGGCGGTGAAGGGTCGGTTGCAAAAATGACAAAGTTTGAGGAAGCGCATGATATGACGTTAGGTGTGGGAAAGTACACAACGATTTGCTCGTAAAAATTGTAGATGTTGATGGAAGTTAACTGGTGGATTAAGAGTACGGGTTTAGTTGACCAGTAATTCTCTTTGGTCCTTCGTTCGCACTTGGCTAAATTCTATGAACACAAATTTTGACTTTAAGAAAAAGTTTATGAAGACAGGGAGAGGAATTTGTTTTGTTGCAGTTTGAAGATCTTAAAGCATTGAATAGTAACGACCGAAAGTTTAACTACCGTTTCTGGGGTTGCTTGTCCTGTCCTATACGTAAGGTATGAAGGCGGAGGGAAGAATAATGGATTTTTTAAAAGAATTTGCACAAGGAGAAAAAAGTGGTATAAGTTTGCATCTTACGAAGTTTACACGAGGTAACATACAGATTGATTCTAGGAACAGTAGTTGAAGACAAATTTTATGCTACCTTAATCAAGATGTCTAAAAATTTGAGACGGGCAAGCACAACAAATATTGAACGTTGGAGAAGTGAAAATCCAACATTGCTACAAAATGTGCAGTTTGCTCACTTGTTGGTAACTCACAAATCCAGTTTTTGTAAATTAAGAAACCCGCAAGCATATACGATATGCTAAGCGATTGTGGGAGCATAAAAAAACTGAAGAGTAAAAGGCAAAGTGCGAATGCAAAACTTTGAAAACCACCTTGCTAATTTTATATGGAGAGAGAATGAGTCGAAAAGTGGTTTTGTCTGATAAGGCAGTTGAAGCTATCTCCTCGTTTTGGAAATATACAAAAATATTTACAGTTGTTCACTCAACTGTGATAAATAAAAGAGGAAAATCAATGATATTTTGAAAGGACAAAATGCATGTATGGAATACTGGCTTTTTTTGATTCCAGCTTTCAGGTCACACCTCTTGATTGTGCGACTGTGATGGGAAAATACCAATTTTCTATATTTACTTCATGAAAGGTCAAACTTTATCCTGTATTAAATTAAGATATAGTCATAAAAATTTAAAATTACTTCCTTTGAAATGTTAAATTTCAAAAAGTCCCACGTGGCAACCAACAGCCATAAAAGGAGTTCCACTGGCGACGGTGCTATTGGTATTCAGGAATAAACATGTGTAACAGCATAAGGAATCCGTAACCAACTAAATAAAATTCTCAACTTGATTTTTTACTTCACTCTTTTCACGGCGGTGTAAGCATTGTCAAAAGCGTAGGACTTCTGTCTTGGATGGTATAACATTCTCAACTTGTTGCCTAAAAACATTTGGCTCTTGAAATCTGCTAATCTGGGAAATATGTTAGTATACATTTGAAAAGGCATTAGTTGTTAATACATTAAAACACCTAAAATAATAGTAAAAGTTACTTATGTTGTTTGCTGCTTTCCAAAAAGGTAACTGTGTCCAGTGCCGATAGTGAAAGTAAAAAAGAACATTCTTTTTCAAGATTCTAAGCTGATGTTTGTAATATGCATTGAAAGACATTTGGAAATATTCTATGTATAAATGGCGCCGCATTGATAGATTCAGATATTATCACCAAAGATCTTAAAACCTAGGCATTTGTGAAGGACTTTAGTATAATTACTGATACGAAATCAGAGCAAAAATGAGCCAAGTGCCAGTGCTGAATTCCAATTAAAATTACAAAGGGGATACTTTTTGCAAAGTAACCCAAAAAGATTGGTTAGGCAAAAGCACAGTTACGGACGACAGTGACTATTTCAAGATACCTAGCTGTTTATTTCATAATCAAGTTTTCTTATGAGTTGCTGAGTCACTGACTTTTCTTAAGTTAATATACCTAAATGAATGGTCCCGCTATACCCGTTCCAATAGAACCAGTCGAATACCGCCATCAAAATGAAAGCATCTTGGTTTGGTTCTCTCGCTATAAGGAGCAGTGCTGTCGTTGGAACCAACGAAGACTGAAAAGTGAGTGGTCTTATAGAGCTATAACGAACGATGGAAGGTTTTGTACTGTCCGTCTGAAATTAAGACTGTCAAGACTGGACCATCAAACGTGTGGTCACAAAAAACTAAAATGTGCGTTTGATTTGGTTGACATGTCAATGCTTTTGTAACAGTTAATACAGGCAATCATTAAAAAGGGCAGTTTTTTAGGCTTTGAGCTTCTTCCTCCGCTAGCGATTGTAACTATTAACCGTTTTGCGTACTCATCAGTGAAAGTAAGCTTATTTTTGCGTTGTCACCTAAGCTACAAGTACTTTCTTAAAGGTTATTAAAGATGACTGTTGTTTTCCGGAAAAAAGATGGAGGTCTTATTACGTTAAAAAGACCTAACCATAAGAAACCTAAACCTGTGACCCTTCGCAATAAGCATTGGTGGGGCAAAATATGACCAATGAATTGTGATCTCGCCGGTATTAACAGTTTTAAGTTCAGCACGTCATATTTGTTCCTGTAATTCAGGAAGATAAAGGGATGGGTTTGTGGCTCTACTCAAGCGACTGTTTTTTTTGACTCCAGCAGTATGAGTACTTAAAAAATTCAATTTTGCTAAAGCAGGCCAGCACTGAAAAGGTCATGCAATGATCAAAAAACGAACTGCAGATAGCAGCATCAGGGAACCCTATTAAGATCATTGTCCATCCTTTGCCCCGTACACACTTCTCCACAGCCTAGAGTGAGCTGACGGTTCCAGAAGGGCTCCAGCCAAAAAAAGCTATTTTCTGCACAACCAAATAATGCCTCAGAAGTACTCAACTGCTTTACCTGCACAGCAGGTAACAAATTTCCGTAAACGTGTTTATCACTTTTCAACTGAACACTACGCAACACTTCTTTCTATTTTAGTATAAGGCTCAAGGATCAAACCCTCAGTAACTATTAATACTTAAAAAGCTATGAGAATACTTATCCGACAAAATAGTAATTATGTCCCACCATTTGAAATCGTTTGCAAAAGAATTAAACAAACCTCTATCTAAAAAGTCATTGTCAAAGAAAGATTATAAAAAAGTATTCGATGTTAACGACTACAAAAATAGTAACAGCACCTTGTGAAAAAAAAAATTTTGTTATCATGGGCTAAATGTCGCATTTCATCACTCATGCTAAAAATTTAATCCAAGTTAGGAAGGATATGAAACAATCATGGCAATCAAAGGATAGTAACACAAAACTTGATACAAGATTTGAGAAATCACCGAATATAAAAAATAATTTGCCACTGCGCATCAACAAGAATTTTACGTTGAAAACTACATGATTAAGGAAAATAAAGATGGAGCATTTTAATATATTTTTCAAAAATATATAAAAATCACTCGCTGTCTAACATATCATACATCGCACGCTTTGATTCTTTTATAGCGGATCTTGTTCCTCCCACAGCTTTCGTGACCTAAATAAACCTGCTGCAGAGAGAATTAAAAAGCCACAACACACTAACTGAAACTAGAACAAAAAAAAAAGAAAACCGTTCTCCTTGAAGCCCTCGTCCTTCTATTACAAGTCCTCATTTTCCGCTGCGTTTTTTTAGCCGCTTCTGTAGGAGACTTTCGAAGAGTTTCAGGCTCTAAGAAAAAGGTTTTTCCCAGTTCATTGTCAATGCGCTTTGGGCTTTTCCTTCTAAATTCTATTTATGAAAATCTTTAAACATAAATTCCAAAACAGGTGGAACCGTGACTGTTGTGCAACTGTTTCTTTTTATGACCTTTTTTTGCATTTTCAAAAGCTGGCAAAACCGAAAATTGTCAAGGTTCACTTCTTTGAAGACCAAATTGCACTGGAAATTTAAAGCTTCTACACAAACTTAGGAGAAACCGCTGGAGTCGAAGCTACTACTTGAACTGGGTCAAATACAATAGTAGAAAATGTTTCATTGAAATTCTCCCTGCCATCTGCTTTTAACTGACGCTTGATTGACCTCAAATTTTCAAAAGTTTTTATAATTCATCATTTAAGAAGACAACAACACATTTTCTATTCAGTAAACGAATAGCCATTCATTTTCAACGTTGTCTGAAAAATGCCAGGAACTTGCAAATGTCTTTACCTAGTTGGACTTTCATTTATCCCTTCCACCTCAGATTTAGCTGCTTGTCTACTGTCTTTACTATTCCCTTCAGATTCTTCTTTCTTCACAGTTCTTTCCTAAAACTTTATTTATAGTGAATGTTTGATTTATTGATCTAAAATAGAGTATATTAAAGAGTTTTTGATACATAGAACCACAAAAATTTAATTCTCTTCCAAACCTTAATCTTTTGTAGCTGTCTCTGATTATAGTCCCACTCCAGATGCGAATATATCTTATTCCATTTACCCGTTTCGCTATTTACAACTTCGCTTCTCGCCTTCAGCGTTACAAAAATGCTTTGCAGTTCTTTAAATTTCTGCTCAATCTTCAACAGAACTGTTGAATAAAATGCTCCTCTATAGTTACCTTATCCGTTACGATAAAAATCTGAGATTTTTACCTCTTCCAGCTCCTTTGCTAACTCTTTCTCACGAGAAACAAATCCCTTAGCTTTTATTTGAGTCTCTTCAATTTCTTCGTTCAACCTTTCTATGTATTCTTGCGCTGCATCAATTTCTAAAGAAAGCTTTCTTTCTTCTTCCGATGCCATCTTCAGTTTATCTTCCAAATGCTGTATGACTTCTTTCTCTTCTGATAAAAGTGTTTGAAGCTGCCCTATAAATTATACATTTTGAAGAAACAGTGGAGGGGAATCTTTTCAAGATTTACCCAGTCTTTCTTTCCGTGCTTTCAATTCCTCTTGCCTTAATCTGGATTGTTCTTTTGAAGCTTCCACTTCCTCGTAAGCGTGTTTCAGTTCTTGCAAAGTAACGAGCTTAAACAATGAGTTTCATAAAGCTCTCAAAAGAATAATTGGTAAACTACTAAAATCTTTGAAAATCAGACCTTGCTCTGGATTCCCGTCCTAAGTAAATGGATTTCACTTGAAAAAGTCTCGTATAACTGGCTGCAAGTTTGCTGTACTAAATAAAGGCTTTTAAATATTGTAGTGTTTTATTTAACGAAAAGAATAAAAAAATTACAATTTATCCATTTTTGGAGCGAAATTCATTGCAAAACTGAATGTGACAACTTCAAAAATTATTCTTCTTCATTTTGACAAGTCTCTTACAAAATTGATAGATTAACTGTAGATAATTTGAAAATTAATAATTCTGAAAACTTGGCGTTAGGAGGAATAATGAATTGAATAAGTGCTCCTCAACGCCAGTCATGTGTACTTGCGAAAGATAAGAGGGTTGCAGTGGCTACCAGTAAACTTTAAGAAAAGGCTTGTCAAAAACTTATTACTGCGGCAAGCGAAAAAGATTTTATATAAAAATTGAAAGTATAACAGGCTTGAGAAACTTATAAGGCTCAGGAAAATTTGTTAAATGCGGAATGAAAGTTTTCCGACTGAAATGAGCAGTCAGGTTTCAAAACTACCACCAAAAAGATCCTATCCCATTTACGCCTGTTTTTTTTTAGGGAAAAGTAGCAAAAGAATACCGCGGCAATCTGCACATAGAGAGAATCAATAAGAAAAATTATAGTTTAGAGGACGAGGTAGCAGCATTTACTGGAAAAGAAAATTGCTGAAGCACCTTACATTCAGTTTTAGCTGAGGTAGAGGAAGATTGAATGAAACAGAAAAAATAATTTTTTGGCCAAATTAAATTTACGCAGCAGTCAGTAAATGAAGGTGAAGACATGAGATATCATGAGCGGATATGAAAATGCATACGTTCCATAACTTCATGGCTACTGACATTCGAAATGTGTAGTGAGGAACACTCCTGGATGAGGCGCTCCACCTGTTCGTTTTCAAAATTTGCATCTGATAAACGCTTTTGCAGTGTTTCCCTGACTAAACATTTGTAGAAGTCTTGAAAATGCTATTGTTTTCAAGTTATAAACGATAAATTTCTCAAACAATATAGCTACAGGGCTCCAGCGTCTAGCTATTTTTCGGCTACTTTACGAAAATAATAAAAGTTACCATCAACTTTTGGCTGAAAACAATAATTGTGATCATCGAATCAACGCTGGAAAATAGCCTACTTTTTAAGCAGCGCAACTTGTCGGTGTCAAAAGCAATTTTTAAGTCATCTATGGCATCGGCATGATTATTCACTCTATAACTGATAAATTACAAATAATCTGGCACTGTTATATCTAAAACCGCTGAATAATCACCTTGTGATGAAATCATCCAATTTATTATTTGTGCCGTCTAGTTGCCGCTTCAGGCTCAATGCATCTTCATCTCGCTTTCGGTGGATTTCCAACAGTTTTACTTTTTGTAGATCAGTGTCCCTTTTTAAAGCATCCTAAATATCTTTTTTTTCGTCTTGTAACAACTGTAGCAACTGCAAATTCTTTTAAAGAGTCTGTCATGATTTTTCTGCGTAAACTAATAAGTGAAGAAAATCAAAAAGTCGATTTCTGTGCTAACCTGCAGTTCTAAGCGGAGGTCTGCCCATTGGAGTCGTTCTTCGTCGAAGAGCATTACAAGGCTAGCAGACCGGCCAATGTATTTCAGTTTAAATTTACGTTTTACTTGAAGGAAGTGACCAACTGAACGCCAGTTTTATAATTATCCTCAGGCAATCCATTGGAATTTAATTACGGTAGGCTATTTTACTCGTTTTGTTCCTCTAATTCTGAAGGTTGCTTAACATTAGGCGTTTTAATCGTTTTTCTGCAGTCAAGCTATGTTTTAACGCTCAACGTTATTAATCCTAGGTTAAATTAACTCATCATTTTTGCTGAATTCACGGATTTTTAGTATGCAAAATACAGAGGCGAGTAGCGACAAAATAATGAAAAGGTTAAACATTGTTAAGATTATTGAGGCAGCATTTAGGAGCAGGTTACTTCAGCACTGAAAAGCTTCCTCAAGTTAAGAGATTTAGATAATTGGCTTTTGAAGAATTCCTCCGTACCTCTTAAGACGTGCAAAAGTGCTTTTGAAATTTTGAAACCAGGAGCAAATCAACAGTATTGTGTGTATTTACAGCCAGCTAATAAGAGAAGTAAACCGAAGATAACTGTAGATTTCTTGTGCACAGGTATCATACAGCGCGGTATTTTATCATATTTTATGATAGCTTCAGTGTATTTAGCAAATTCTATTTGCTCTTTTAACAAAAAATTGTCGGTTAATTTTTAAACAAGATAATTTTAAGTGATATCACTTCGCAGAAATAATCTGCGCCGTAAAATCCTGCAATCTGAATGGATGCCTGTAAAAGTTTGAAATATTCCTTAGTGGAAAGTATCTAATCTTATTACCAGTCGTAGTACTAAGGGTGTAGCTTTCTGTTGTAGTTTATATATGAATAACTTAATAAGTAAAGTGGTTTTATGCTGTAAAAAAGTGGCGAATAGTGTATGCGAGATCAGGTTACTGTGAAATGTAGTCTAACTGCTCTTAAGTCATGCAAATGAACTCAGAACCTTTAGCTTATAGTCAAAATTAAAAATTCGCAGATTCTTTAAAGATGTTCTGCAAAAATTTCTAGAAACTTCAGTTTTTTTAAGCTCCATTCAAACAAAAAATGCATTTCGTTTCTCCTCTTCTGTGGCGAAACTTGTTTCTTTACAGTACCTCATTCAAAAGTGGACTTCTAGTGTAAGTTTTATGCGATCCCGATGACTACTGTTGGTAATCCCGTAATTATCGACCTTGGGTTCTCTTATTCAATTGTAATTGAGAACTCACTACACAGGGTCCGAGAGCAAAATTTCTAATATAAAATTTGCTTCTCTGTTTAATTTGTTCGCTTAGGTTCGCTTTTTCTTTTGAATTAAAATGTTTTATTAGGTGTTGTTGAGAAATGACGCAAGAAGGGTAATTCAATAAATTTTAATAAAAGAAAAGACAGCTTTTAACAAAGGTGTACAGAATGAACTTGAGGTTGATTTGAATAATTTGGAGCATAAAAAAAATTAATGTTTGTATTTCAATAAAATTAAAGAGACAGACTTAAAACAGACTCAGAGGAATCAGGGCTTGGAAATTTAAACAAGCGGAATGAACGAAAATTGGTAATCAAAATAACAAAATTCAACAATAATCTTCTAAAGGCAAATGGTACAGTCTAAACAGACCTTAAATGAGTTACAAAAGGGGAAAATTTAGACATTTAGAAAAAAAGGAATCAATATTAATAGTGACAATAATGAATACTAATAATAATTTGTTTTCTCTGAGTTTTTATAATCTCCATTTTGTAGTAGAAGAAAGGGTTTGTGTTATCGTAACAGGATTCGTATGAAGAGAAAGGAGAGCCAGGTAATTAGACCCGTTTTTTGTTTTGGCAAGTAGGTTTAAATTTTCACTTAATTACAAAGATTTTAATGAAATACTGAGATTTTGAGCTTAATCGACACCTTATTGTAGTATTAACTAAAACATTTTATACTACGTCCGGAGAAATACAAAATCTAAAAAATACGTTGAGTGTTACTGGGTCAACTCGATTTTGCAGTTCTTTGAAGATGTTCCTCACTAATTAGGATTTTGCCAAGGCCATTCCGCTGCCTAAACATTCCTTCCTTGGCAAAAGTCAGTGCGACAGGAAGGCGATGCTTGTCGAATGAAAATCGTCTTGTTTCTACATTGAGTTGAATTGTAGAGCGAGTTCCCAATAGCAGGATAAAATCGGCTTCTTTTCCCATAAAGAGGTCTACCGTGTAGACAGGTATCTGTAGATCGTCTTGTTTTAGATCATATACGGACGAATTGTGCGTAGCACAACATGACCATCCTACTAGAAGTTACTCCTCAAACTTGACTGCTTCTGGTTGTTGGCTATTTGTCTAGCTGAACAAGGGCATGCGAATTTTTTTATCAGGTACGTCAAGAATTAGTACTGGCGTATCGTCGTATGAAGTCCAACTTAATCCATAGCGTTCATTCTTGGTTCCTCAAAGCTGGGACAAGTTCTTCATAGTAAAGCGCCCTGGAGATAATCTGTGTAAGTAACAGATGCGACTGATAAGATTCTCTCAACGCTACTTGGAAAATCGCCTTTTGGCTTGTTAAGTTGATGACAGTAGTTCAGGACCGTTCTCATGGCAAAATGTTCCGACATTTTTCACCATTAGGCAGAAGCCGTTTAATTAAAAATTCTTCTATCGCCCGGCTTTCTTCTGTTCCCATGTCGTTTTTAGCCTTTCCCAAATAAATTGTAAAATTTCCGTTACTCGACATCTGGTCCATACGCTATCGTCTGATGCTGTTGAAGTCAGTTCCGCAGTAGCCAATTGAAAAAATATTATTTGGTCCGTAGATAAGTTGGCGGTACATTTAAATAATGCCTCTGCTAGATTTTTTTACCGCGTATTTAGACGTTGCGATGACAAGAATGATTTTCTTAGTGTTTGTTTACCAGTTCCAGTTAGGCACGGCTGCTAAAAGCGTCTTTTCCGCTCCCGCTGAGGCCTGTTTGAATATAATGGGTATGTCCTTATTCTTCAGTGCTAAATATACCTTATTTTGATTTCCTTGCAACTATAGTGTTCCGCCTGAAAAATGAAAATCGACGTGCGTCTCATTTGGCGGTTTTGGAATTCGTCCCTCGCCTAGTATGTAAGGTAATATTGAAGTAATCGCGTCTACTCTAGAGAGCTCTCTTATTTCGAGCTCCTTATAGTTTAATTTATTCTTTTTAACGCTAGAAAAATTATAGCTTTGGTGAATGCGATGACGCTTAATGAAAGATTTTATTTACTTAAAACTGAAATTATAAATATTGCCAGTATTTACAGAAAATTTGTGAGTGATAGGAGATGGATGAGATAAGACCGCTAAAAAAAACAATAGATCCAAGCAGATAACAAGTAAAAATTATTTGACAACAAGCTTTGAGAGAAATTTATTGACCTGTTTGATGGGTCCAAAACTGTACAGTCTACAGAAGTCAGAATAACCTTCAAAGGACAAATAAGTAGAAATAGCTTACTACTCCGTAAGAAAGAAGAATAATTCCAATGATGATAGCTACTAGCAGATTCAACCGATCACAATGATTCTTTTAGTACAAGTAACAATGTTGAAACTTACAAGTTTTGGAACAATGGATATCTTCCTCCCTTTGAATGACTGTTTCTTTTGGCCTCCCAAACTGGAAAGTACTCTTTGTTTTATCCACATGGGTATAACAAAGAGTATACCGTGATAAGCGTCTCTGAGCCTCGGAAGCGCTCTGTTTGGATTGCGGTGTTAACAGGACTCATTTTGTGAAACTTTGTTTAAAGATTGTGCCGACGATTTTGAGTTGGTTATGATTACTCGTTTACTTTATAATATATTTAAAAAATATTAATTGTCGATAAAATCGTCGACAAATTAATGGAGAAGGATAGGCAGCTGATGTTTTTCCGTTCTTGAATAATGTTGATTGGAGCTGTTCATGGTGTAAGTCCACGTTTTATTTTGTTAAATTTGTTAATTGAATAGCTCGCTTTAGCGTCTAAATTTTTGAAATGATTAGCTACCTATTTCCACTGAATAAAGTGAACTGATAGCTCTGGTTATTTCCTTTCCATTTGGCATATTAAACCGTGCTTTAGCCAAACTTCTAACAGCTACAGTAAACTTAATTTTGTGTTAACTTAAGGCTTAACTAAACCTATCTCAATACAATAAGTCTTCTTTTGTAGAAATGCTATACCTATAATATTCTTCCTTGTTGATCTAAAAAACTCTCTTATGTAGAGCCTTTTTTCTATAGTTAAAATCAAATTTTATGCTCTATTAGTTTAGAACAATGAGCGAAAACCGTGAGAGAGGAGACAGAATAGATTTATAATCACGGATGATATAAGTAACTAATTTAAGCAAAGCAATATTTAGAGGACGAGCATATGACAATGAGAGACTGCCAGTATTCACTAACCCTAATTTGCACTGCATCAAAGAATGTCGAAACGCATAAAACAAATATATACAAAAGACAAGCATTCAAATAGCTAAATCTCCTTACAGAATTTAGTACGCTTAAAATTACTGACCTGACGCGATACACCGGGAAGATCTGGTGGTAATATATTTTAATAGTTTTAAATCGCTAGACAGCAGAACGGAAGGCACCCGGTTGAGTTGAAGCAAAGATTAACAATGAAAAATTTTTGGGAAAGACAATTATACTTTTAAAAGAAAGACAACTGTATCCGACCTAGGAACACGACACATTTTATTGTCTTAATAAACTTAAGTTTTTTTACCTCTCAAGAGGAATAAACTCTTTGTTTTACCAGAATGAGTAAAACAAAGGGTTTACCGTTATCCTGACCTTTGGGCATCGGCATGTCTTTAGTTTGTGCGGCGCAAACAAGAAATTTTGTGTTTTTTTTTCTCTTCCAAACTTGTATTGTCTGTCTAAATTTTGTCACTTTTAGAACAAAAGATATCGCTTTAATAGGTAGGCAGAACAGCAATACAAATAATTCCTTCATTAGAAAGCGATACCAACACAGTACAGAATCCTATTTAACATCAATACAAGGTAAAACAACAATTAACAGTGAACGATTAACCACCGCTTGGTTGAGTGAGACCCAGAAGTCTTTTCTTCTGCCTACCGTTGTCTAGACCCTCGCCCAGTGATCTCTTTCGCAACTATCGGCCATCTCCTTAGTCGAGGAGTTGATCACAATTCCTCTACAGCGTCCCTACGGAGGTCTTAGTTTCTGCAGCTTCAAACCGCAAGCAATCGTAGTTGCCGACGCTTGCAGCAGTATATATTGAGGACTGTAATTGTTCAAGTCGACGCAAAGTGGTGAAGTTGTCGAACGCTTACCTTATTTGGACAATCATTTTTGAAGAAGACCTTCAATTATTACAAACAAATTTACAACGAAAGTATAGTGAAACAGAGTATAAGGAAGTTCTCTGAGTACAGCTCACTATCTTAAACTCCAAGTATTAACTTATGAATTGAGAATGGACGCTGATTTGCAAGTCCACGAACGATCTGAAACCAAATAAGATGAAGAATTACCACAATGAATAAAAATTAAATAGCTTTTAACAAATAATAAAAAATAAAACCGAAGGAAACTGAGAAACAATACACCATGAACTATTTGGAAAAGACCAAAAACAAAATAAAAAAAAAAAAGTTGATAAATTTGTCGCGACCATCCGCAAAATGCACAGCTTATTAAGCACTCCCAATGATGCTACAAGAAAATCATAGTGTAAAAATGTCCCAAAGTAAAATTTTTTTAGAACTGAGAAAGTAATTAAGTCAGTTAAGACAGTTACACCCGGAGACAATGAAGGCGGTCAGACTGAGGTCTATAAAGGCACTAGAGTCTAGCGGGAGTGAGTTTTTTGGGAAAAGGAGCTTTAGCAAACTGAATTATTGAAGTTTTTTAAAGGTGCCCAGTTTGGCAGTTTGTATATTGGTTTCTAGAGAAAATTGTATAGTACTGTTGCTATTATTTTACTTCGGAATTTTGTTTGTTTGATTGGTTCTGTATCTCCGTTCCTTGTCATAACGTTATAAGGAAAATAAAACTAGTGCTCCACTTTTGTCACAGAGTCAG